TCAGCATCTCTGCAATTCACTGAACCATACCTGGTTCATCTATAACAACGAGGAATAACTTGTCAGTGTTTATATCTGGATATCCGTTTCAGAAGCCTAAATACCTCTCCTTCCTTTTGTTATAAAGATCACAACAATGAAGTTTTAGTTAATCTTGTTCAAATATAAAGCACTAACATTTTTGACACAAAATTTCACAATTTCCACATAGCCATAAACTATATTTACATATAAATCCTTGCCCTTTGAATATGCAAACATATGAAAAGATAGCATCAATAACCTGTCCTCAAGATCTTACATCATAATTAACCCGTGTAACTCCACCACTGCAGCAGCACAAAAAGAATCCAGCTCAAACCTTGCCATCCTTAAAAATTTGATTACCCTCATCTATTTTAGTATTTCCATACCTTCTTCTTCTTTATTAGGCCGTCTCCTTTACAGGAGGTTGGTGACATATTATGAACAGGATCCTTCCATCCTTTTCTCGGACTGGGACCTGTTCATATAAGTTCTTGGCAGATGATCCAGAAGTGGTTTGCCATTGCCTTCTTCTGTGTGTGAATGGAGTAATTGTTGGGAAGCCCCCGGAGGAAAACTCCGTGTTGCCTAGACCACGGCCTTGCCCAACACAAGTTATAAATTCGGGCACCGCCGGGAAATTCACTGAACACACACACATAATTCTTCTACGGATATTCATTACCGACGCATTCATGGACCCACGCGAAAAAAAAAAGGTTGAACCTAAGGTTCCCTTATTTTTAATCCATATTTGAATCTATTTGTAAACGCTGACCTTAGTTGAAACTTTGTCAAACGCTGATTAAGACAGCGGTTGCGTACGAGAAATTCTTTCTTTCGTTCAGAAGCTTAAAAAAATATTCAACAGTGTGATTCGTGGGTCGCTTTAGCACGAAGTAAATTAGTACAGACGCAAAACAGTCTTGTACGGATCTTAAAAAAGAAATGCATCACGCAGAAAAAGATACAGCAGACTCAACATTCTCTGCTTTCAGCCTCTGCACACAGACAGAATCCTTACTCGTACTAATTATTTTAACCTCTCTCTCTCCTCTCTTTTTCTATTTCAAAATTATTCGAGTAACGAGAAAAAAACAGAATATAGTACGACTTTCATTAAAATATCTTTGTATTGCACAATATAATTACATGGGTATGACGAAAACAGTTTTGTGTTTTTTATCCAAAGTTTAGTCTACGTTCGTTCGGTTTCTTTGTAGGGCGCAAACTCACTACTTCGCCCTACTGAGTCGTAGGGACTTGCTACTTTATGGTGGTCTCTGGGTTTTGGCTCTTTAAGCTCGGTACAGTCTAGTGGTTCGTGTCCACTTCCCTGTCGCGGAACACTGGTCTAGTCCACGCAGGTCGAGTTTCGAGATTTTATCGAGGTGATACCAGCCGGCATGAAGACATCAGGCGTGGTAAATACATTTAAACAGAAATAATTGTGTTGTATTCAAGTCTAATGGAACATCTGCGTAGCAAGTAATGAAATACTGATTTTAAATTTGAATCCGAAGATGGTTTTCTCCTGGATTGTAGCGCCATGTAGTCTGATAGAAGTTTGCAAGACGCTACAACCCAGAAGACAGCCATCTTGTAGTGAAAAATTGATATTTTTTATCATATTTGTATCTCTCTCTCTCTCTTTCGCTCTGCTAAAGGCTTGGAGGATTTTTTTTCCGTTCATCCGCTACTTGCTTCGCTTTCTTTACTCTTTAGCTGATCAAGGACCATCATAAAGTAACATTTGTACGTTATAAGAACGCGCAGTGGCACGGGTAGATGTTTGAATCGGAGTGCGGGCCTCTGTGAATGAACACGATGTGACCCTTTTGTACGAAGACCACGGCAATAATATTTTCCGCAAATAATATCGCGATGCAGTGATTAGAATTTGTACCAGATTCGACTCTCAGAACGCAAAATTTTCTTTTGCAATTGAGGTTAATGGGTGTAAAAATATCGCTCTGAACTTTGCTTATTACGTTGTTAATATTATTATTTCGATAAGGACATGGGCCTGTGTTGCAGGTATTCGTAATGGACTTGTACATACAAATACTGACATATATCTAGCAGATTTAATAAAATCGACTCGTCATAAGTCTCGCTGTAGTTCTGGGTAATAATGCTACTTCTGCAAATTAAGGAGACTAAAATCTAACCCGGGGCACTGGCTACAATGAATTAAATCTTTCACGGTATTCTTCAGTACACGTAGGAAGATTTCGGGACAGTGGGTTAAACATGCTTTGCACATTTAATGATTCCGGAAATCAAACAGCCGACTGTGACTGTGGTGCGAGTCATCAGACCATCAAACGTATTGTGCGGGAATGCCACCTGAGGGCATATCCTGTGGAACAACCGAATTTTCTCCTAGCCTCTCCACCAACACTTGAACGGATTGCCAATCTTGACCTAAAATTCTAGTATATTATATTTGTAACGTCTATCGTTATTCTTGTATTTCATGTGTTCTAATATAGCCATGAGAAAAATAAAATAAATAATTCCGGAAATAGAATTATCCTGGTATAAGTCGACAATAAACTCGACTGAATTTGTTCCCAGAATGACGAAGGGAAGTTTCTAGTTCTCCGGTCAGTTTTGACGTAAGCCGTCACGTGTTTCAGCGACATCTTTAAACAATGCAAACAGCTGAAATAAATTAAAAAGTCATCTGTTACAACACGCATTCAGGCTGACAAAACTAACGTGATAAATTTTAAATTAATCGAAGTGTTCAGTAACTCACTCCCAATGTTTAATACATACGGGGGTAAGTACCCTGTCTGTTCATACCCCACTCTCACTTACTCCATATTTAAAAATGTAATTGTGATCCGTCCAGAAGCGCGCATTAATACATTACGTTGTTATCCGTTAAAAGCCATCACAGATAGTTCGCACGTGCATTAGCAAATGGCGATAGTCCGTCGTCACCAAATTCAATTTAAATATTATACAGCGCGTGGGCTGATCTAATGGCTGAGTGTTGCGTTGGTAACCCTTGACGTGTGAAATGTAATAAGAGGTAAAGCCATTAGGCCAGCGGGCCTATCGATGATTAACGCCCATTCAAGGGGTCTACGGACACACGTCCGTAAGTTCTGTCAATTAATAACAGTCCCTGATACTAGAAATGTATACGAAATTTTAGTCGGATAACTTTAAGACAACGCCACGGTGGTCTAGCGGTTAAAACGCTGGTCTTGTAATCCTGGGGTCTCGGGTTCGATTCCCGGCGGTGCCCGAATTTATAACTTGTGTTGGGCAAGGCCGTGGTCTAGGCAACACGGAGTTTTCCTCCG